TGTACCCAAGAAGCCCTCAGATGTGGCAGGCCCCAGACTCAGACCCAGAGACACGCTTATCTAAGTCTTCAACACAGAACAGTGGCCTCTGGGTGTCCCATGGGTGTCCCACTCTATACACTATTTGCCTTCTTGTCCATTGTACACAGAAGTTGCCAAGCATCATGAAATCTATATTTAAAAAAAATACTTATTTTGATCAAAAATTCTGTAGAAGAATCCTGATCAAAGGGGGGAAAATGTGGAACAGAATTTGAAATTCTAATGGAATCCAGATTTTCTGGAGCCATGGAGGCTGGATGAAACTCTAAAAACAATTGCCCTGAAATAATGTTTAGACCATAAACCAAAAATGTCCCCTTAAATCTCCTTCAAACCACACCACAGTTTAGCTTACCTAGTAAAGAAGGTCTGCCTGGAGCACTGTGCTCTTACATGAACCTTCTAGGTGGGCTCCAGTCGACAGCAGCACTGTGAAAGAGCAGGCGGGAACCTCGGGGCCCTTGCATGTATGTTAATGCAGGAGGAGCAGCTCAGCAAGGGCCGGTGAGAGTGGCTGCCCCCCGCAGGCTGCCGTCACTGTCGCTGAATCGTCCTGCAGAGATGGTGGATTTACTGTGTGTTTCGCTGTAAATTCTCAACAACCAAATTTTTTTAAAGAAAAAATAACTAAGAATATTGAAAGGATGATTTTTAAGTGTTTGAGAAAACTCCAGTACCCGCTCTTATTCTCATGTCGAGGTGTGAAGATTTTACCACAAAATGAGAGCGCCGAGGGAAAAGGAATGCCTTTTTTTTTTTTGGTCCCTTTGCCTGACCTCGTAGCTTTAAAATGGGGAGCCGGAGAACAGTGTGTAATTTTGTGGTGACAAAGGGTATCCTTGAGGCAGAGAGAGCCCCAAGGCAGTGACTGGAATGCAGTGCAGCGGCCTCTTCCTCTTTGGAGTCTGGGTTCCGGGGCTGACATGTGTGTTTGTTTTCAGGACCCCTACTCCGCCTTCTTTAAGATGGACACAGACAGGGACGGCATCCTCAGCATGCTGGACTTCCGCCGCCTGCTGCTACATCTCCTGTTCAATCTGAAGGACGAGGAGTTTGAGCGCGTCCTGGAGCTTCAGGGCCTGAAACTCGGCATGACTTTAAATTTTCGGGAATTTCGGAATTTGTGCGAGAAGGGATCCTACCGAACCGATGAAGCGCCTCAAAGACTCGTTAGGTAAGAGGGCAGCACGGTCCAGCGCCTTTGATGCACAGCAGCCGTTGCCAGCCTAAGTCCAGTGTCTCTACTGTGTCCGTGAAGTGAGACGCAGAGCAGAGCTGCCCAGTGGCACAACGCTGCCTCCTCAGTCCAGAGAAACCCCACCAGAAACAGGGCCACCCCGTGTGTCAGTGGAGCTGTGCTCCTGGGGCTCTCGGGCTGACTGTTAGAAGCAGATCACCGGGCCTTTCTTCCGAGGTACCTCTGGGTGCACCGGAGCACCCAGCCTTCCGTTAGCAGCCGAGGGTGTTAAACGTTCTCACCACCCAGGGGCTGTAGGAAGGTTGGAAAATACAGCCAGCATCTCATCACCTGAGCATCATTTTCCTGTTTTACTGGGCGTCATTCCACTCTTTCTTCTGCACATGTAAGTGTATACATGCATTTAAATTTTTTTCTCTGCATAAATCTGGGATCAGCCTTTGGAGAACAAAGCTCCCAAGGACATCGTGCAGTCTGTGCATGTGGCTTCAGCTCTCTAGCACCGGCCGCTGCAGCCTGTCCCCTGCAGTGCACGAGCTCAGCCTTGCTTGGCGCTGTCAGGAGGACACAGCCTTCTTCCGGGCACCGACACTGCCTCCCTTCTCCTCTAGATGTGTGTGTCTAAGCAGCAGGTGTAAGTCTGGGGAGCCATAGAACCACTTAAGCCAGTTGCTTCCAGAGATCCAGGGATCCCCTTCCCGCTCCTCCCCTGGACAGGCTCCTCTCTAGAGCCCTGCGCACCACACGGGCCTCTCAGGGCAAGGAGGAGACTCTCAGCATCCAGCATACTGTCCCTGCTTTCTCCCCTTGGTCTCCGTAAGAGTGCACACTTGTGAAGGTGCTGACGGGCTTAACGTCTAGCGTGGTACCTGTCACACAGGCTCCCTGTGGACATCATTGAGTGCCCACGGGCATGAGTGAAGTAGCCGCTCAGCCCCTCCCTGACCAATTACTGTAATGTTAATGTTTCATTGAAATGCTACCATACACCATGAGGATACAGAGGTGTGTTTTCTGATGAATCATATAGCATGGTAGTTACAGTCACATACCGTTTTGCCCTTTAGCCATTGACAGCCCCAAGGATCCCCGAAAACCACATTTCCTACCCACACAGAGGCAGCTTCCTTGGAGGGTGGCAAGCCCCCAAAAGCCATGGTCACGGGCCAGACTGTTGAGACGCTTACCTGGCCTCAGAGGTGCTCTGATCGTGCGCTGTAATTTCTTCCCCCGTTCACATTTTTTTTGGGAAAATAGGTTTATTTTTTGTCTGTATAACAAAGGAAGCAGGTGACTACAGTCTCTTCCTGGAAGGAATGATCGTGGAACATGAGAGTCGGAAACCTGTTTCGCTTCTCAGGCCTGAAGAGCCTTTACATGGACTTGATTGCTTAACATTAAAACAGAACAAAAACGTTCTTCCCAAAATGTTTTTTTTGGAGGATGTGTGCAGAATGAACATGGAAGATTCCAACGACAAGGTCCAATCCTCCCCTTAAAATTGACTCACTTTCTTATTTGTATGCCTTGGTTCATTCATCAAGTTTGGGGCCCACTATGAGCTAGACACAGTCCTACGACCAGGGCTTGCAGAGATGAATAAGACTCAGGCTCTTCTTTTGAGGAGCTCATGGTTGAATGTGAGACGGGCACAAAAAGAAATACTGCTGTTAGAATAGAAGAATGATTAATGAAGTCTGCCTTGAGCGTGGTGCTTGTGGTGGTTGTGTTTGTGTGTCAACCTGGCTGGGCCTGGTTGAGTGGCTGGGCAGCTGGTGGTAGTTATTCCCCACGACGAGACTGGCAGTCAGCTCCATGGTGGGACCTACCACAGGCAGCTGAGTAGCTGCTTTGGGTGTGTGGTCTGCTTCCCGTGTATATGCAGGGAATGGTCTCTAGCCTATGGCACGCTTGGACCCTGTATGGAGCTGTGTCGTTGGTCAGCAGCCTGCCATGCTTTGCTGACGTTGGGGATTAAATTAATGGGCTGCCATGTAGTTTGCTAACATTGGGGCTGTGCCTTTTTATTTGTCAACCTTGGGGTTTGTCAGCCTCAGCAGCCAGCAGCTGTCTGAGTGAAGAAACGCCTCTAGCTCCAGTGGGCCAGAAGCAGGAGGCAGAACTGGACCCCAAGGTTGAGGGGCTTTCACCCAGCCCCTAGAGCCTGGCACTTTGAACTCAGACTTAAAGTCTCCAAATTGTAAGAATAAACTCCTGTTTGTTAAGGCCATCCCATTTGTGGTGTATTTCTGTCAGAGCAGCACTAGGGAACCAGAACAGTGTGCTTTCGAAGATTGGCTCTGTGGGGTGGAGTGGGCAACATCTTGAAAGGTTAGATGAGAAGCATGTGGGGCACTGACTGTACCTTGATGGTGGTGGACTAATCTGGAAAGGGATCAAGAGATGGTTACCCACATGAAGAAATGTAACCAGTGCACTGAGTCGTGCAACAGGATTTGTTGAAATGGTAGATCCACACACACAAAAGCAATAAAGTTGGATTAAGAAGACAGAAACAGAAGAATGATTGAAGTGTCGAGGAATCTGGAGAGGGGACTACATTGTCTCACACTCAGCTGATGTAGAAACAGTTGAGCTGGAACTTGGCATGTGAGTAGTATTTTATCAGGTGCAGGCTGCAGGAAAGATTGGTCAGGGTCAGGGATCAGCATTTGCGGAAGCACAGAAGGATGACGATGCAGAAGCCGTGCGAGTGCCTGACGGAAGGGAGCGAGGAAGTCACAGTCGTGCTGTGGAAAGATCCTTCAGCTGCTCCAAGTGGGGACTGACTGGAAGGGGAAGACGATGGAGACCAGCAAGATCTGTCTTGGGCTCCAGGGATCGAGGGAAGACAGCTTTGAGACCCAGACCAGTGCTGCGTTAGAAAGTCAAGCCCTCCCATGGGCCAGCCCTTGGGCTTCATGAAGACGCATCCTTTAATACCGTTCATCGTCTGATTTTACAGATGGAGGAGTTGAGGTGATGGATGGTGGGGCGGGGGCTTGAACCCGGGTGCTTGTTGTGAGAGGATGTTTCTTTGTCTGGAGAACTTGTCTTCTTTCTCCCTCCTCAGTCTCTCTCTCTCTACCGCACAAACCTGGAGGACGCCATCCTGTCCTTCCTGGAAGCCTTCCTACCCTCTCTGTTGGGCCCCTCTGCCCTCTGGGCGTTGACTTTGTTCTTGCATCATCAAAAGTCCATATTTTTGAAGACTCTGAGGGCTCCTAATTTTGTTGAAGAGACGATGACCGTCTTGACTGCTTGATAACTGCAAAACAATTTTGTTTTTAGATTGGCGGGCACCGATTAGGATAGTGAGCCCAGGAACTTGCTTTCTGTATCATCTGCTCCCTTCTTGTTAAAAACACACTTGCCTTGACCTTTTACCCACTTACAAACCATAATAAGTATGTTTTCATGCACGGACATCATGAAAGATGAAAGAATACTGCCCTGTCATGGGTCCTTTTAGCAAAATTGTCAGAAAATACCACATTATCAAATCCTTCCTGTTGAATGACTAGCTGAATGAAAATACCAGAGTTCCTTTCTACCCCTGAAAATATGCCATTCACCCCTCAGTTCTCGGGCTGCAGAAGATTTGCCTAGCATGTTGCCATCCAGAGACCATAGACTAAGGTCTGTCCACATAAGCCGTTCTCCAGTGTCACTGCCGCTGGAGTCTAGGGTGGCTGTCTTCGTCTGCATCCACCATCTGGTCGGTTAATATTCCTGAAACAACATGCCCTGTCCATTTTTTTCCCTTTGCCATTTGGGCATAAAATCAGAATTCTGAATTTTCAGCTGTTCAAGGACAACGAACCAAGTCTGCAAACATGGTTGTTGTTGTTATGTGCCACTGAGTTGGCCCGACTCATAGCAAACATGGTTACACTGTCTTATTTCATAACGTCTTGAAAGATACTGCAATAGTCTGGGTAGTGCAATAAGAAAACTTAAGTGGTGTAATGGTGATTTATCTCAGTATTTCTTCATCCTGCCCTGAGATGCCATCTTATTTTTATTACTTTGATCTTTTACTAGCATAGTTGGGAACAATTAATGAGAAGTGATGGAATATGTCTTAGAATAATGAAATAGAGTAAAATTAAGATCAAGATCACTTAGACTCCACGAAGTAGCATAGATATATAAAAGGATCCAATGGACCCATATAGTAATTGTAAGATAGAATGAGTTTATTTGATTAAGAAAATGATTTTTTTTTTTTTCCTGTTCTTTGGAAAACCTATAAGAAAAACAAGAGTCATGAATACCAATCCGAGTTTCAGTATCAGGTAATTCTGGCCTCATAATGTTAGTAGAGAAATCTTTCCTCTTCTGTTTTCTGAATTGTTTAGAATTGCTATTATTTCCCCCCTAAGTATCGGGAGGAAGGTTGAGGAA